TCAACAAAGTATAAACACCCCAGACACACATGATAAACTAATAACTGCCTTGGATTGAAGGGCTGACCCTGGCAGTTGTTTTTTATTTTTTTACACAACAGCTAGACCAGAGTGAGCTCCCATCATCTCCCTCCTGTTTAAACATCCAGCTCCTTATTCACAGTGTGCTCCACACATGGTAAAGCAATTAATAAATCATCTTTAGAGAGCCTAATTCCAATCATAACATGTTAGATGTCAGCAGCTCTTCTCATGAGGTGACTGCTTGGGGGAGGCTTTACAAGGGAAAATCCACCCTAACAACAGAATAAGAATCCATATGTTATTCCCATGACCTTGAGCCTTTTACAGAGTCCTGGCTTACCATGGTTCTAACATGTCTACCTTTATTTTAACTGGGTATGATTATGGGGCTAACATATGTGAATTCCATTTTTGGGTGGATTTTTACCTGAGCTGCTTCAGCAAATAACTATTACCCAAAAGGGAAGCTAAATATCGGGACAGATCGGTCTACATATCCAGTGTCTGTGTAACAAGTATCTACCCCAGCCTGGCCAGTCAACCCTGGGGAATATGAAGAATTAACATTCCATTTGTCATCCTCAAATTAATCACAGGAACAATGTATTATTAAGAGAAATGAGGTGGAACAGCATTTTAATCTATGAATCTCAAAAAAAGTGTATCATGTATCACCACAATCCAACAACCCAAGAAAATGTATGGAGATCACATTTTTCATCCATGGCCCAGGATATATAGTCATCTTTGCAAACAAAATAGTTAATTGCAGGAAGGATGCATTATTATGCAACAACGACAAGGTGGAACTGGAGTTCTGGGATGAAGGAAACAAAATACCTGCTGTGCTGCAAGTCCTCCTCTGTAGTGTTGAGCTGTACTCTTGCAAGATTTTCTGACTGCAGGGAGGCTTATTGTTTCACCATGATTAAAACCACAAGGGCTAAATGCCTCTGCCCTTTTCTTATTCTGATTGCTCGCGGAAACAATTTGTAACTTTTCATTACATCTACTCCTGTAACACCGCAGCAATTTCCAGAGAAGATGCTATTCATTTCCTTACAAGCTCTACTCCAATGTAGAGTGTTGGAGTGGGGGCACTGAGGGTTGAATTTCAACAAAATATAGTACCAGCACCTAGTTACCAATGTCTTGTTTTCACTTCACAAGAGAAATATTTGGATAAGAAAGAGCTTGAGCCTGACTCCGTATATGTTTCTAACTAACTAATGCAGTCCAACAATGAGATGCCTTATACAAATAGGTTCAACACTAAACACTCCAACAGACACAATTTCAGGCCAGATGTGCTGATGACTTAACAGTTCAACAGCCAACACACTGTGCACCAACACACTTGGCTAATTCTAAAATCCAGCCTACACTTTGCTATCAGTCATTTACAGACACCTGTGTGGTAGACAGTAGGGCTGGGTTTTGTTTGATACAAAAAATGGGAAAATTATGATACTAGTACCCTCAAAGCAAAAGCAAAACCAATACCAATACGGTGCTGCAGTCATTACCCATAATGTGAATGGGGTGGCATGTAGTATACCATAAAACTTTAATCAGTAGCCCAGGTTTATATTTTCTTCGATCACTGAACCCTATCAGCTTATATCTGGGACAGGCACACAAAACTCTTGCTCAGCAAAGATGAGAAATACTATCAACATTTTCATTTAAACCAGTATGAATATTACTTTTATAAAAATCAGGCTCAGACCCAGCACTCTCACACGACACCTCTCTTTATCCCCATAAACAATATTTAGAACTTAAATAATCAAGGCATTGACATATTTAGACTTAACCACTTTATACGTAGAGAGTCACCACTTTTTTTTCTCTCATTTACCATGCTGGTAAATCTGACTGAATTATACTTTATTTCTCATACTTTCATTAAAATGAACTGAACAATTGGATTATGGAAGATCTAGCAGAGCTAACAATGAGTAGCATGTCCATATTGACAAAAGCTTAAACATCTATGTTTATTTGTGCGATCTAAGCAGCTAACTAACATTAGCTCAAATGGGTATCCAAGGACTTGATGGGCTTTCAGAGGTTTTATACATACAAATAACTATGTAGCGTCAGTGGCAACCAGACCCACTGTCTAATTGAGAACTGCATTTACTTGTCAAAACATGTAGCCACACCTGGTAAGTAAAAGGGACTTGGCATTTCACTGGTTCTCCGCTTTTAGTTACAGCTTTGCAGAAGCCGTAATTTGGAACATTTTGGTGGCATCTCAGCACGCTGAACTGCCAACTCCGTTAAATACACCACGCTCAACTTCACCTGACCCCAGATCGTACCTTAAAGGGGTACGCCACCTAGATATAAAATTCCAATATGTGACCTCCATGGATTGAAAAATTCAATCAATGTGTGTCAACATAAACTACTCGCTCTCAAAGCCAGAAACCAGAAAGTAAGTCTCAAACTTGTGATGTCATAGGGTATTAAATTTGGAGCTGCACCATAGAAAACAAAAAGGAGCCTGAGTTTGTGGACCCACAGATTTTGTTTTCTTTTTTTAAACCCAAATGAGCTTTATTTAACTGTAGAGTTCTCATATACCTAGAATGGTGCTCTCAGTGTCCTCCATAACATCTTTCACAGTAAAGCATCTATGGAGCAGCTCTAGACTTTATACTTGATGACATCACACATTAGCACTCTAGCATTTTGATTTTGGGAGAGAATTGTTCATGTTTACTTATATATGTGAACTGTCTTAGACCACAGGAATAACATATGAATTTTGATAATGGGTGTAGCTCCCCTTAAAAGTTATCAGTTACCGATACCGATACCCAGCCCTGGTAACCTGTGACAAAAATGCAGGCAGCGTGACTTAAAAAAAAAAGTGAAAAACTTAACTGAAAGACAAACAGATAGCTAACCAGACAGAAAAAGAAGAATTTAGACAACAAGACAGAGGAGCAGTCACAGAGATAGACTGGTGGATAGGAGGCCATATACACTGATAGCCAGTGTACTCTAGACAGTTGAGTGCTGCTGACAACCCACAGCGTGATTTAGCTTTGTGTGGATCGTTGGAGCCAAGGTGACTGTTCACGGACGACCCCTAATGAGAGAATTTACTTTCGAGATGTGAATAAGCAAAGATGCTGCGGTATGGAAAAGCCATTAGTGCAGATTTTGAATGAAACAAGGAACAGAGGGAAAACCAGAAGAAAAAAGGCGGCGTGACCTTTCAGCTGTGAGCTTTAAAAGTGAGCAAGGAAAGAACCCTAATGGCCTTTTTTTAGACTCTGAAATGTCAGAGGAGCATTTTTCCTATCAAAACACTTGACATTGGGGGGGACGTCATAGACATGAAATGTTATTTACAGCTACAGGATGACTTCACCCAAAACAGGGATTCATCACTCCTGCTGGGAACACATTTCCCAGGGACTTAGAAAAAAGAAGAAAAAAAGACAAACAACCACTTGCTTATTTCCCCTGACTCTTCACTGGGATGCTTTGGCAGAGAATGTTTCAACCGTTAAAGTGTTTAGAGGACCTGGAGCCTAAACACTGTGAGAGTCAAACAGTAGAGGCTGGGAAGCCTTTTTTACGTGTTTATTTATTTATTCATTTTTTAAACTCTGTAACTAATTCAGTTACATGAAGCTAGCCAAGACGTTCCATTGGATCACATTAATTAAATATCTATAGGGGAACATAAGAGAGAGGAGGTGGGCTATTAAGTTCATAAATAGACCACATGAGTATTAAATGAAAACCATTTCTGCAGTCAGTGAGGCTCTGTGTTGTGTCATGGACAGCTCCTTAACAGAGGGACTGCCCCAGCCATTCTCCCAGGTATATATACATATACATAATATATACATGTGCATTGTACAGTGCGTGTGTATGTATATGTGTGTGTGTGTGTGTTTTGTGACTGTGTAGATTCCTGACACTCATAAAAAATACTATTATTACAAGGTCTTTTTGCACTGCATTTGTACAGTCGATGAATTGTCAGTAACTAAATACCTCCCTCACCTGTTCTGCCATTATCAATAACAACAGAGAAAGCTTATGGATACCATTGGCATGTATGTCTGTTCCTGACACTAAAGCAAGTAGTCACATCCGTGACAAGGTCCGGAACTGCATCTACCCTCTCTCATCTCTGTCCTCCTTCGTTTCTCCAAAATGTCCATCTTCATCCAAAGGTTTCAGAGTTTCCTAGTGATCTGGAAAATTGTGGAGAGGATCTAACAGACCATGGCAATGCTAAACGAGTGTGAGAAAGTATCTGTGCGTTGCATGCACAGGTGTTTACATTTACAGGATAACCCTGCCTGCCTGTATGTATGTATTTGTTTTTTTATTTGTGTGCTAATATGTACATGTATTCGGTGGATTTGTGTGAGTATGTGCACACTGAACGTGTTTGTTCTGAACAGGGGGGTCCCAGAAAGCGGAAAACTGGCGTCGAGGAAGGCTCCACGCAGCCAAGCCACTCATCTATTCTGGGCATCCAGAGCCCACAGTAATACTACCAGAGGAGGAAAACAGAGGAGGACATGCCTGGATATGTGGTGTCCACTGAGAAACGGGTTCACTCAGGTGTCAGCAGGCTGTAGTGTGTTATGTAACAACATAGTAACATGATTTCATTGCATAGAAACAAAGTTAAATACAGTAAATTGTTGTTGTTCCACTACTGAAAGACCATATCCTTAAACACAGAAACAGTGATAGTTATTGCAAATATCAAGGGACAAGTAAATGTCATCACAGTTTTCGTTTGTACATTAATCTTTACACAAAACATATCTGAAAATAAACACTGAGAGAAGATCTTTTACAACCCTGTTCCCTTTATGTGTGTGTAAACCTCTGGTGCATGGAGCTAATGCCATGTTAATGTATGAAGTGCAATATCACAGTAATATCTTTAGTATTTTACCTATGGCACAGCTCGGGGTTGGTTAACCTACCTGTCACTGTCTTAGTTTTGACCGGGCTGCTGGCATAGTCTGAGGCCTGATTGGAGGGCTGTTTGGCCAGTGGTGTGCTGCCTACTGACACCTCGTCCTCTCTCCTCTTGGCCAGAGGACCTGAACCTGGAGTCTGAAATGACATCACAACGACAGAGCACATATGAGGCCATGGGAAAGGAAATATGTTTTGTTTATTTTAACATGAAAACATTTCCATTGAATATGCATTCAGTTTTTTTTTAAGAGCATGTTATCAGGTGTAAGAGCACAAATTATTCAAACACTGTTCTGTGTTAGTAAGGCCATGACCCAGAGATAACTTTAGATAGCTTAAAAGATCTGGGTTAATCAGGAGACACAATACATAATGCAATGCAAGACAGAAAGGGAGGCAGAAAGAGAAAGAGAAAAGAAAAATGCAGTGGAACACAACAGAGGCCTCCAAGACCAACAAGGACTAGTGACAGCTCCCTGTTGTTTTTGAGCAGTCTCCCATGCTGCTGGCAAGCCAAATGCATGCGTGCGCACACACACACACACACAGACACACAGACACACGCACACGCACACACACACACACACACACACACACACCCTGGCTGGCAGTGTGATGGCTGAAAGACAGAAGAGTGGAAGGTTGGTCTGAAATAAGGAAACCCCATTAGCATCAGCCAGCAGCAGCACTACGCTATGATGCAGCTGCACAAGGCTGCAGGCCAACCACGTACTGCAGCCTGTGTAAACACACGCACACACACTGATGCAGTTGTTTTTCAATGACTGGGTCGGGACCCAAAGGCTGGTTGTGGTAAGATTAAAAATGGGCCCCCAAATTACATTAGTATTTGAAACTACTGACTGAGGTATGATGCCAAATCCCTCTAAGGTTTTTGCAACTTAACATAGGGTGAATGAAATACTGTAGGCCAGTAGGTTAGTTGCCCAAAGTCACGTTTGACTTGAAAATCATTTTCAGGTCTGTTGAAGATCTACTTAAAGGATATTAAAAATACTGTTTAATTAGAAGGACACTTATAAATACACTCACAGCATACACAAACACTGTATTGGAGGCTTCAACAACAAATGCAAGTTCGGAAAAAGATTTAGCAGCAGAGCAAGCGCTTTTGACTTTCATGTAACGCTTTAGAACACAGGGCTTTAGACATGAGGCAACGGCTCAGAAGAGCAGAAACTTTCCACAGTAAGCCTCCGAGATAACATTATCTTCTCTCCTGTCTCTTCTGCTTGGAAGTGGTGAGTTTACTGGTCACAACAACTTAATATGACACAATTGGCATTTGATGTCTACAAAAAATGTTGTTGAACATTTCCAATCCGTTGTTAGCGCTGTGAGCTTGTTTACTATATTACATGAATGCTCCTGTCACACTGAACGTCCCACTGAGCCCTGTTCAAACTAAAATAAAATAAATAAATCATCTAATATTCGTATTAAATGGCCAAATCTAATTCAACTGACATAATTCTGAGTTGGGTACGGCCCTACTTGAATACTGAGTCTTTTTAACAAGCAGAAATTGCGATCCATCTTTTTGTTTTTGTTAGGCAGCGACCTCTAATGGCTGTAGTAATTATTACAGGAGCAAAAAAGGAAGACAGGCAACGTAGTTTAAAGAACTACAAAGTTGGCTTAGGGTGGGGAGGGAGGAAGGGAGGGGGATGGTTCAAACAAGTATTGGACTTTCATTCAGGAAATCGGTGTTTGAGTGCCACACGAAACAAAAAGTCAGCAATGAGTTATTTAAAGGAGCTATATGTAAGAAATCTAAAGCAAATAGTTGTAAAATCCTCCTAATATGTCACAGAGACTAAGGAATAATGTTCATATAACATACTGATCTCACCGACAACAATAGTAAAGCCAGAATATTCGCATCTAAAAAAAAATTTCTGCAGTCTGCAAATCATGTTTATGTTTTGAATTTGTGTTTTGGCCTGTTGCGCCACCCACCGCTGTCTACCAGTCACACAGTCAGTAGAGTCTCAGCATCAGTTACAGTTACGACTGAGCTACAGCAGCATGGCAAGCAGCGTTAGCAGTGTCCTGGTACATAGCATTAGCAGCCGGCTCCTCCTCAGCTGTATCCCGGCAGCAGCGTTAGCAGTGTCCCGGTACATAGCATTAGCAGCCGGCTCCTCCTCAGCTGTATCCGGCAGCAGCATTAGCAGTGTCCCGGTACATAGCATTAGCAGCCGGCTCCTCCTCAGCTGTATCCCGGCAGCAGCGTTAGCAGTGTCCCGGTACATAGCATTAGCAGCCGGCTCCTCCTCAGCTGTATCCTGGCAGCAGCGTTAGCAGCAGAGAAGACGGACTTGCTCGAACGGTCCGCTGGAAAACCGGAGATCAAGGACGCGGCGACGCGGCCCTGCCACGGCAGCCACCCGTGGGCAAACAAATCAGTCTCCAACGTGCCACTGTCCAGCAACCTCGAATCTGTAGGCGACTCAGGGCAGTATTTTGAATTTGAGTGCAGTAACCGTTTTGGCCACATTCTTACATACAGCGCCTTTAAACAATGTCACACAGTGTGTTGTAGTATGTCACCTGATGTTTGTGACATATGTTACATGACATATGGAGATTTGCTGTCGAAACCAAACCTTGTAGTTTTGGTGCAATTGCGACCATTTCACATTAACTCATGTTGAAAACAGCAACCATTAACAGTCATATATGAGCTATTCTGTCTTCAACTGGTATTGGCGCCAGTGTAGTAAATGCTCCTAAGGGTCATATTCAGAGAGCGGGAACAAGGACCTATATGGCCATATGGGTTGGAGGAATTGTTGAAAATTCTGTATAGACAAACCATATGGCTGCTTTGTTCGTTCGTGTGTTGGAGAAAAAATGCTAAATGGTTAAAAATAAATTATATAATTCAGTTTGTACATTTCATGGAAAATATGTGCTTGGCTACATTTTAACACTCTATGCTAAAAGCAGGTACCTTACCCAATGACCATCGCTCATTCCTTGTGGATGACATAGTATGAGCTAACTCCTTCTACCACACACACTGAGGGAGGGTGAAAACAGCCAAGGAAAATGCCTGTTTGGTTTTCAACCTTCTTTTTTCCTCTTATTCCCTTTCTCTTCATTACCCGCTTCCCTTACCATCTCCCACTACTATTCTGATTTGTGGCCTGTGAGCTTGTGTTTCCTGCTCACTTTGGTAGTTTCAGTTGACTTTTAATTCAGCCTCCCTCTCCTTTCACCGCACCTTCTCAATGCTGTCCTGTGCTTTCCCTTTACTGGTGTCTCCTCTCTGTTCCATAAACGTCTTCCTTCACCTCATTCCTGGGCATTTTCTTTTGTCTCTCCATATGTTGCTTTTCACCTCTCCATATCTGTCCTCTGCGCTTTCTCTCTATCATATCCCCACGTGACTTTCCTCTCAATTGTTGAGGACTGCACTTCTCTGATACTTTTGCTTGTGTTCTGTCTCCCTCCCATTACCTGTTCTATGCTTTCTTCCCTACTTTCTTTTCTCGTCTCTGTACTACCAAAGGCCCCCTCACTCCTCTCTTCATATCACACATATGTCCTTGTCCCCTTGTCTATCCATCCTACCTCCTTTCTCATTATTTCCTGCCTTCCTGACCCTACCAGTCTGTGTCCTCTCCTCTGTCCTCCACAGGCTGTTGTGTAGCCTTCAGCTGAAGGCCCTGTCTAAACCAGCCAGGCCTTGAGAAGTGGCCCTGACAGCCAGCTGAGGTAGAAACACACACATGAACGCAGGCACAAACACACTCAGCCCCAAATTTTGCTGCAGCATGTCCACACACACAGCAGCCAGTGTTGTGTATCCTTCACACTGGCTGCACTTCAACTCATAACATCTGTTTACCCCAGTACAGCAATAACCTCCAGAATGGGGAGTTGGTGCAATTAACTCCCTCCCACTTTGTCTGAAACACATACACACACATACACACCCACCCACCCACACATACACACATGCTAACAACCCGTCCAAACTGCAGGAGGCATGAAACAGAGCAACTTGTTGAAAAAAAAAAAACATTTAAAGTATTACAATATGATACTTTCATGTACTATATATATTTATGTGCCTTTATGGGGTGAACCTGTGGTATATCCCAGGCAATCAAAATGAGCATGTCTGCATGTGTGTATGTGTGCTGGAGTGTGTGTAGTGTGGGCACAGAGCATTCAATGTCCATAACCATCACCATGACCCCTGTCAAATAAATAGAGAGAGAGTGGATGGAAGACAGGGAGCAGAGCACATGGAAAAAGGTAGCTGGGAATGAGAGGGAGGGAGGGAGACACTTACATTCCCTTCAGGCTCTTATTCAGAGTCGCTCGGAATGAGTGCAACATTAGAATATGCTGTAGGCATTCTACTAATTGAAATTACATGTACAAGTTACGCATGTAAAACATGTTTAAGCGTTAACACGAAGACAAAGTAACATAGTTTGTCTGAGACAGTGACAATCAGGTACCTGTTGCTGTTGCCTGCTGCTTCCTCTGTGAGGTTGGTACAACAGCCATGTACAGAAAACCGGGTCCACGTTGACAGCTATACCCTGAACACTGACCAGCAGGACTGCGCCTAGACAACACAAACACACAAAAAGAAACACAATAGATCAGAGATTTTCAATGCCACTCTGAAGACAAAGAAAAATCAAAGCCTCAATAAGTGAGCAGTTTTTCCAAAAATAAAAGACTAATAGGAAAGGATATACTGTACATCTGTCTTGCCTTTACAAGATCAACATTACTGCTCACAAATACAGACCAGTTGTTTGAAAGCACTCAAGCAGTGGTTTGACAGTAAACACTAAACTTCAGTTCAATGGGACTGAGATCAAGAGATGCACAGAATCATTGCCTAAAGTGGAAACTAACTGAACTCATATAAACAAAAATGTTCTGATGCAATTATTTCAAGTAGGAGGCACATCGATATGGATCACTGAAATCAATGTAAGGTAATAATCAACAAGTGAAAGTGACTTAGGGCAAATCTGCTCAGATTGAGTGTCAAGTTCCTTCACTCTCGTGCCGTTTACACTGTGTCCTAATGACCTGCCGGTGGGTATCGAGCCTGCTTGTTGGAGAGCCGCAAGGAGCACAGTTTGTTTCAATTGCGCTGTTCAAAGTGGTATCACACTAAGCCAAGAATAACATTTTCTTTTGATAAATTTCTATGAAACTCGAGACTTTCTCTGGGTTTTGGTTTACTCTTAAATAATAATCTTTACCAACAATAAGCGGGCCCTGAGGTAATGCATTAGGATCCTATCAATAATGATTCCCATGCCGGCAGGATTAGCGCAGGGTCTCTGGCGTGCCGTGGAATGTCCCAGCATGACGATAGGAGGATGTTTCAGCTCTAGAAGGACTTTCAGCAGTTTAATGGAGCTTTGGACAAGACCCCAGTCTTCTGTTTCAGGCCCTGAGGCAAAGCTGTAAGTGTGTAAGTGTGAATGTGTAAATGTGTGTGTGCATTTCACCTCCGACAAGGCCTGATTGCTTGTTGCTTTGCCTAACATTTCAGAGTCTCTAAAGTATGGACAAAGCACAATTATAAACTTTCCATCGACACACACACTCACAAAGACACACACACACACACACTCACAAACACACACACATTTTTTGTTACACCGGCTCTCCAGCTTGGCAGGAATCGCTCCCTCCTCCATTATTCCCTGTGAACAATGCAAATAAAACAGCTCTAATTTGCTCCACTTTTACAACGTTTAGTGATTTGTGGCCTGTGAGCCTGTGTGTGTGTGTGTGTTTGCACAGTATGAAGTAAATGTGTATGACTGAAAGCATGAGTGATGTGACATGTGCACGTGTTAGCATACTGTCAAAAGTGTTGTCTGTGTGTGTGTGCGTGCGGGTATGTAACATGGAGTCTGTGGTGTGTGCTTGTATGTGTGCATCTACAGTGCAGTATGATGCATGCATGCATATGTACTAGTGTCTGTGTATGATCATTATTCACCAGGTGCATGTCAATCCTGAGCTTTGGTTTATTACTGGCACTGAATCCTTTCTGGGCAAAGGAGAAACTCTCTCATTGGATCAAGTCAAACTGACTCACATCTCTCCCTTTATTGCTTCATCTATCTTTCTGCGTTCTTTCTGTTTCTTTACAGTCTCCCTACCCATCTACATCTTCCTTGTCTCCCTTACAACAGCCTTACTGGCATTTGTCCCTGCTTCAATCCCATTCTAAAACCTAATTCCTGTATCTGTCATCTCTACCTCCCCATTATAATCTGTCTTCTGCTCCTTCTTCCATCCTTCCTAGCCCCCCTTTATCCTATTTCACCCTTCTTTACCCTTCCTTCGGAAACCGTACCTCCACCCTTCCTCGTCATCCTACATCCACCTCTCTCCCCCTCCTGCTGACGAAGAATCATAACCTCAGCCCTGTGGCTTGAACTCCTATACCACAGTGTGGCTGCTTAATAGGCTTTGGCTGTGGCTGTAGTGCTGGGGCCCGACTTCAAGTGGTTTCATCATAGCCCAGAACAGCATGAGCGGTATAGGACCCAAAAGGCTGGGAATGGGCTGAGTAGTGAAGATGTATTCAATAAATTGACCCTAAATTGTGGTCTATGGATGCACTGAGCACGACAAAGCACATTCAGCAGAAATGAGTCATAGCACAATAAATCATATTGCTTAGTAGATGGGTTGTTTATTTAACATTTATTACTGAGATAAATGAGCAAATCAAAATATATAAAATGCCTAATTGCAGATAACTCCTGCAACCAGAGCAGGTTACACAGCATCAGTGTTATAAAACCAATAGGCACACTATAATGCCCCAGCTTTTTCATTCTTCACTTAAAGTGGAACAGTCACAAAGAAAATAAAAGAGGTCACTTTTGTTGGTCGTGATGATGGATGCTCTGCAGTGCCAGAGCTAGTGCAGAAAGCATTTCCATCGCCATGAACACAAAAACCCACACATGTAAGTTTCCATTATAACAAAATTGTCTCATCATCAGATGAACGGAGCTGACTTGCTGAGTGTATTAAAGTCTAGCAAGTTGGTCCCTTAGAGAAGGATGTAAGCTGAAGTAACAGGCAGTGTTTAAAAATGTCATGCCAGCAGCTGTCATCTTATTGTGGCTGTGTGTCATGTGTGTTTGGCTTCTGCCAATGACAGCCATGACCATTTAGATACATCACAACACCACTCAAAAAGCTCTCTTTCTGAAATTAACAGAAAAAACAACCTTTTCTCTCTCTTTCTCTCTGCCAGTTTGACAGTGACACGGAAACAAAATATGTGTTGACCTGGCTTATGAGGCTTTGAAGACCAAGGCTTTACCATCCAAACTGTGTTTTCTTGTTTCATCACTGTGTTGACATAACTGCCAGAGAGTGACATCTCCTTTGAAGCGCGCAGCACCATGAAACGGCCTGGCATGCTTAGAGGGTGACCTCGGCGGCAGGCTAACTGTTGTTTTTCTCTGCTCTAACAGGGTGGCATGTGGATAATTACAGAACGTGATGACAATGATAACAGAGGTGTTTTTCTTACTTCCTAAATGATTCCTCAAGAAAACACCAGAAAACTGCTTCAGTGGCCTAGACTCTGAAAATACACACAACCACAAAAATGTCCGTGCAGGCATCTGTGAAGACACACTTACCTTGACTCACCCACAGTGGACCTATTAATGTCAAAGGTGTTTTTTTTTTCTTAAGACCAGTAGAGCTAAAAGAGAGCATGGGGCTGCTGGTGTTGTTTTACGGCTGTCTGACATCAGGCTGCTCAAAGCCTCAGGCTACAGTAAAGCATTAGACCAGACTGAGAGAAGGCCTTTAACCTTTAAGTCCTATATAGATTCTTCAATCAGTCCCCTCTTTTCTGGGCCAACAGCCCCAGTAACCTATCAGCCACACATCTTTCTGTCTTCATATTGTCTTTTTATCAGGCTACGTCCTTTATACATTGACATTTTTGAATGCAAAATCTGCTTTTGTTCAGTCACTGCAAGCATGAAATTCAATAAACTGGGAGCGGTTAGGTCAGTGCAAGTTCAAAAACCAAGTCCCACAGTGTAGACCAAAGCCCTGATTGGGGTTACAGAGGGCACAACCTCCCAACTACAGGGCCATGACCCCACCATCAGAGTTAGAGACAGGCAAAGAGAGGTGGGGCGAGCTAACTGTTCACCCCCCAGGTAGACAGAGGGGGGAGGATTCGTGTTCAAGCCAGCTAATCGCCCCCTCAGAATCGCTTCATTGTTGGACGTGAGGCAGCACTGGGACCCTGCGTCCAGCTTCTCCAACAGAAAATAAATAAATATAGCCCAGCCCGCGTCAGCCAGATGACTTCTGACAGGTTTGGTTAATTTTGAAGCCAAGTAGCAAAACAAAACATTACGCCAGCGTGCGGGGCCTACGCTGCCTTTAATTGCTTTTCCGATGAGCTCATGACTCGAAGGTGTCCTGGAGCGAGGCGTGCAGCCCGACAGGTGTTCTACTGGTGTGTGTGTTGGTTTGAGTGTCTCCGTGACTATGAATGTGTGTGTGTGTGTGTGTGTGTGTGTGTGTGTGTGTGTGTGCGAGTGAGTGACTGAGAGAGTGAGAGTGAGAGTGAGAGAGAGAAAGAGAGAGCCAGAGCTGTTGACACCACTGAAAAAAAGGGACTCAGCTGTGTGTGGGTGGGTGCAAAAAACAGTGTGTGCAGTGTATTTTGTGTGTGTGTGTGTGTGTGTGTGTGTGTGTGTGTGTGTGTGTGTATAACACAAGTGTGTACATGTGTCTTTGTGGACATTAGGAAGTGTTTCTATTTGTATCCATTTGTGTGTGCATTGTAGGAAAGTGAACAGCACACACCTTCATGCTCTCTCTCACACACACACACACACGCAAACCACACCGTGACACACATTCACTGTACTTCTGTTCCCCTGCCGTGCTGTGACCCAGCGGCCCAGGGGCAATACCGCCGCAGGAGCCCAAGGGCTCAGGAAGGACACAGGCAAGTTTGACTGGAAACAGATCCTGGACTACGGAAAGCCTGCTCTCACTCTGGGCCCATACAACTCTCTGCGCTGGATGCCGGTACATGGTATATGTGTGTCTGTGTATGTGCGTATGTGGTTTTAAGAGAATATAAGCGTATATGCGTAAGTGTGTGTGTGTGTGTGTGTGTGTGTGTGTGTCTTTCAACATGGCCCAACTGCGGTAGCCTGCAGCTGACAGGCTAGACCCACCTCGTAAAGGTTGACTATGGCTGTGGGTACAGTAACAGTAATAGGCAGGAAGAAAGCTGGGGAGCGATTCAGCCAGCAACAGAGTCAGTGAAAGACAGAAGGGGAGAAAGATGGAGTGACAGAAGCAGAAACACCTAAAAATACACTGAAGGACAGACACACATTGAGAGAGAGAGAAAAAACAGAGAAAGACAGAGTAGACACAGATACAGTACAAAAACAGAGACAACATATAAAACAGTGGATGATGAGAAAGTTTTTTTTTTTTTTTAAGTCATTTTCCTAATCTACATGATAAGTGAGAGGGCCTCAGAATTTGGCCATGGATCTGTTTGATTTATGAGATGACTAC